AAAATATGAATAATAGACAAAAACCTCTGCTCCAGAATTAATGATTTTTGGACACATGTACAGTCACCATTCCCATATACTGAATGGTATAAAATACAGCAGTGTCAGTGACTCCAGAACAGTCCCTTTCATCTTAAGGAACTGATATCATAGCAAATGGAAGGGTAACAAGAAACACTCACAGAGACTGGGTCAAAAATACAGAAATTCAAAAGTTTAGATTTAGACTTGATTTGAACCTTCAAAAGGTCAGCAAGTAAATGCAGTGTAGCTTGGATTTTTTTAAACATTTTTGTCCACCCAATATGTCTAGTGGTTTGATCAAGTTGTGAATAATTTTGAGCATCTTGAACATTCTGAATATATTCGTACCATTTTCCTCCCACTTCCAGTATCTAGGTATAGCATACTCTTATGCCTTCTTACACTGCATACATCTGACATAAGGAGAATTTGTTTATCTAATCAGGACAGAATATTTTTGTTGGTAGAGAAGAGTTGGTTTAAGATTATATTTATGCAAAGGATTCCTATTATTACCTGGCCTCTTAAAGTAACAGAGTAATCTGCATAGCAGAATTTTCTAGCATGAATTTAAGTTTCTCTAGCTATATCTAAAGAAAAACTGTAATACTATGTTCATTTGGAAGCTAACTAAAGACACCATTCACCATCTTAGAGTCTCATTTTTCTCTTAAGAGTGATCTTCTTAATTTACAAGGCAGATGATAATAGATTTTTCTTATCTGAAGGACGACTTAGCTACTGTATAGTAGTTCACTGTTGCTTACATGTCTGTCGGTCAGGATCTGTGTTTAGGGACATTCCTGTGATTTTTGGATTTATTTTTAAGCAAAAGTTGCAGGTTGGGTCAGAGGAGAAAAAAAAGATTGCTGTGGAGAATATCCCTCTGACAGCTAAAGTTGGGAGGAATGTTTTTTATTCTATTGCATTCACAATATTCTATTAGAGCAATTATACACTGTCATAATGACTTGAGTATTTATGGGAGAAGTCTGTTTCAGGTGACAGCAATAAAAGCTAGCCTGTAGCTCTTCCTATTATGATGTACTGAAATGAAATTTATAATTTGAAGTGTTAGCAAACTATTATATGGTGAAGGCAATGGAAGCAGTTTCAACATATTAGAAACTAACACCCTTTCTATACAAGCATCTTACCTGCTACAAGAAACTATGTCATATCTCTCTGCTACAACAATGTTCCAAAAAGTAGGTGAGGATGAAGGGAAAACTGTTCAAGTGTGACCACATTTTAAAATAAAGTAACTTTTAATGACATAACATAAATGCAAAAGCCTTATCCATTAGTCAATCCTGTTAAATAAACCAAAAACCAAAACAAACAAAAAAAAAACCAACACACAGTAAATCGTTTAAGCTATTCAACTATATTGGTTTCATACCTGTAGCTCCTTTATACTGTGGGCATTCTTTTTTAATATGACCACCTCTTCCACAGAGAAAACAGCATTTTTCTCTCAAGTCTCTGTCTTCTAGGCACTTCCACTTCTCCACTGATTGCCTGGGAGTCTTGTCTCTTCCAGTTTCTACTATTCCCCTTGCTAGTTTGCTCTTCTGAGGTGTACATAGCTGCAACTTTCCCTCCTTGATTGAGCTTTCTCTTTCTGTTGTTTTATTCTGAATTTCTTTGTCCTCTTTGCTTCTTTTCTCTTTGTTTTCTGTGCATCTTTGGGTTTTGATCTCTTCATAATCATGTCGCCGCCTCAGTCTGCAGGAAAAGAAAAAGGCTGCAGTGTTCATAAGTCTTACAATCATACGTGGAAGAAAAAAAGAAGTTGCATACAGATGACAATCCTCGTGTATTTCCTCAGTGGGTTAAATAAATTGAATTAATGCATCCATCCCTTTACTATAGCACTGTTTGGTAGGAGAGTGAACCGAATGTATCCTTAATAATGTAACTTTACAATTAAGATTACAACATAGCACTAAAATCTAATAATTACACTCAAGAAACATAAATGAAGATCTAGATGCTGGAGTTGCAAGAAACATGCAGGAGAGAAGAAACACCAAGCAAAATGCTAACAAGCTATAAAAATGGGACTGTAATTTTATTTCTTTTTTGTATACTTCCATCAGAAGTTTTGCTTCCCTCCACTAGTCTGAAACTGTGTATATTCACAGTATTTCTAAAAGTCTTTCCTACTGGGAGAAGCTTCTAACATTCTATGTGACAAAGATCCAGCAATAGGAACCCAGGTATTACTGTTGGACTGGTTTATTCCACCTCTTCATTCATTATACGGAGGAGCGGAAACATCAGCGGAAACTTCCAAGTCCAGGCTCTTTCAGTCACATACAGCGCTAATGGCTAGCAACTTGAAAATAACCTCAAAAAACTGAGTGAATGAGTAAAAAGGTGGCAGATGAACTTCAGTGTAGGTAAGTGTAAGGTAATACATCCAGGGGAAAAATAACCTAAACCATGTCTATATGTTGTTGAACTGGGAGCTGGCAGTTAGAACTAAGGAAACAGATCTTGAAATAGTTTTAGAGAAATCTCAAAAATTAACAGATCAAACAGTAGCAGCTGAAAGGATAACAGGATATTGGTATCATCAGATAAAATATGAGAACAGAAAACATTTTGTTGCTATACAAAAACCATGGTGTGCCTACATGTGAATACTGCATGTTGGTCTGGTCTCCATAATTTAAGGAAGTAGTGAAGTTAGAGAAGGTACAGAGAAAGGTAACTAAAACGATCAAGGGAGCAACTGCCTTTGGAGGAGATACTGAAAGACTCTTCACCTCACAGAAGGTGGCAGAAAGGAGAACACAATCACGACTCAAACTCACCAACGCAGAATTATTACTAAATCCCACAATACTATAGCTATGGAATGCTTGATGAAATTAAAGTGAGTTTGGTTTAAAACAGATAGAGTAATACTCTAAACAGCAGTTAGCTTACTTCTGGAACTAGATGCCATAGAAGATTGCTAAGGAAGACAGGAGAAGCAGGTTCAAAACAAAAGATTAGACAAAAATCGAGCACAAGTCTGGTCCACAAACGAATACTACAAGACCAGGGCAGGTATGTGCTCTCATACAGCAATTGTGGATGCTGGGGGAATACAAGAGAAGAGACTGCAGAAAACAACCAACTAGCATCTCCTATTGTGAGTGCTGAACAGAGGACTCCGCTAGATGAACCAGTGGTCTGACCCCAGAAGGCATTTATGTTCTTGGAAGTAAAATCCCATTGCTTTGTGCATAGAGCATAGCTGCATACGTGAAATGAACTGGGGTTTCGCTCCAGAATGTGGTATTAAGTCAGGCATATCTAAAACAGCAATTTAGACAGAGTAGATTTTCAGAATGTCTTCAGCATTCTTTATTTTCAAGTATAGTAGCTGATGATAGCTTAAGTTTGTTGAAGTTTAATAGATTACTAAGGTAATGATCTTAGCAATATTAATTCAATTCTCTACAGTGCAAAAAGGCAACTTGATCTAATCTTTCTACATCAGCTTTTTAGCTACTTACATAAAAGCACAGGTGATTTTTAATTACAATTTAAGATAATACAGACTCTAAACAAAGGTTATATTTTCCATTCACCTTACAAATGAGCACAAAGGCTTTCATGATTTCCTCCTCTTGAGGTTTTATTTGCTGATTTTCACTGTCTTATAAACATGAAGTCTTTAAAGGGCTTTAGTGTCTTTACTAGAAAAAAAATCAATGGATCAGTTTTAAGTTTAGACTGTTTGTCATGTAAAGAGCAAGATAATCAACTTAGCATTCATTTGCTACAGGAAGGTATTTACTGAATTTTGAATACTTGGTGACTGAGGATCAGAAAGCCTTGCTCTTGAATATAGACAGGACATTGTTCTGATCTATATGTGCTTAAAAAAAGTTATGCTGTCATGCCATTATTTTGCTTTTGGACATGAATGGCATGATTCTGTGAATATGACAAAAATGCATCTCCTGCAAGGAGCACCAAGATTCTAGAAACAGGAGCTATGAAATGAAAATATGTAAAAAGCTTTCATGAGTGCTCTTCACAGCACACAGCTATTCAGCTTTGCATTTAGATTCTCTTCAATTATTGCTTTCCTACATAAAAAAGCTCAGAATCAGCATCTACCTCCTTAGGCTAAGTAGAGAGGATATTGGGTAAAGCATTTCTTGACCCAGGTAGTGGAGGAGCCAACGAGGAGGGGTGCATTGCTAGACCTTGTACCAACGAACAAAGAAGGTCTGGTTGGAGAGGTGAAGGTTGGGGGCAGCCTTGGCTGCAGTGACCATGAGATGGTGGAGTTGAGGATCCTGCAAGGAGGAAGCAGGGCAATAAGTAGGATCACAACCCTGGACTTCAGGAGAGCTAACTTTGGCCTCTTCAGGGACCTACTTAGGGGAATCTCATGGGGTAGGGCCCTAGAAGGAAGAGGGGTCCAATAAAGCTGGTTAATATTCAAGCATCACCTCCT